AATCTTTTTTAACACAACAGACGTAATAATTATGTTGTAATCTAAGGACACATTTTTACCATAATTTTAAATATCAATAAAATAGACAAATTAGGCATAAATTACAGGTACAGCAGACAGCGGAGTAATTTTAATTTCTATTTTATTCAACAATTATGGAAAACTGTTGCCTTATTTCAAGGATTTATTATAATTCATAATTTTCTTCCTTAAATTATTTGAGATATTCTTCGCACAGAAACTGATATTTCGTTCCGTAAGAGATTGACTGAAATTGAAAATTTAGTTATTTTTAATATTATTCTCGTTGGTGTCTAATCTATCCATGTAGAATTGTATAAAAACTAATTTTTGCCAATATTTGTGTGAATCAGATGGAAGTTAGATAATTCACCAATTTTTTTAAAACAAATATTATAATTTTCAATCGATATTCAATTCGTTATATTATTTTTGGCGTTCATTTGCGTCATTCAAAATCCAATACTTATTTTATTACTCTTTTATAACTAGATTTAAATCACGTGAAGTTATTGTACGGATAAAATCACTTTCGCAAACCTTATAAAAATTATAATTTTATTTTACGAAATTTGATATAAAATTTATTTATAAATATATTTACCAATTCTATTACCTTTATAAATTTATAATATATGATATCGAAAGTTACAATAATGATAATATATAATAGTAATTAAAGTGACAACTATTAAATTATTATTAAGTATCATTGACAATTATTGATTTGTTAATTTAGTAATTAATTAATAATTAAAAAATAAAATTTAGTCAATTAATTATAATTTTAAGTTTCTAGATTTTCTTAATATTACATTACAAAATAGATAATAAAAATTACAAATCATTTATAAATAATCAATAAACGTGTACTAAACTGTTTATCAGTGATGTTTGATATTTGATAACCTATTATAAAACAAGATTATCTTAATTAATTCATCTCTTATTATGATTTCCCTAATTATTTCATACTCTCATTCATACAATAAATACAAATCTTGTTATCAAATAATATTTTGTGTTAAATATTAATAGGTTGTCTTAATCATAGAATATATATTGGATAATCATAATTAAAATTCCTACCCAATAATTTTTATTCTTAACCTAATTAATTTAACTCTAATCATGTCAACAAATTTAATTATAAAAACAGAGAAAGTGATTTTCATATCACTTTAAAAAGATAACTATACTTATTATGATATGACACTAGAATTCTTATCTCATATTTAAATATCTTTTTGTTAAGAAAAGATACAAATGAATTGTGAATACAATTATTAGAAAATAATTTGCGAGAAAAAATAATTAATGAAAGTAAGCGTGAATTTCAACAGATTTAAAAATTGAAAACTATTTCACAGAAATTGCTTTTCGTTATGTTATTGGAGATAATTATCAGAAACTCGTATTTAAGAGCTGGAAAGCGCTCATATATATAAAGGGCCTCAAAGAAAAAACTTAATTCATATGTGTTTTGCTTGTTTACGACGACTGTATTATCCAATTACCTCACTCTCAAGTACACCATAAACTCACTCAAGACTCCAAGACTTGTTTCTCTCGCTAATCGGCGCTCAATTGAAAGCATTTGTTGGGATAATAAGTGTATTGCAGTCGAGTATTGGCAGTGAGAAGAGTTGGGAGGTTTTGGGATACCGTTTCTCTCTCATGTGTTTTGCGATGTGTTATTGTGTTTGAGGAAAAACTATCAGTTTATATGTGTATTGAATAATGAGGAAAATATACATCATTTTCGCCACTTTCCACTCTACTCTCGCTCACTCCGACTAATGTGAAAAACAAGTGAACCACAAAACATGCGTCAAATGAATTGAATTTGAATATAAAACTTTTTTTTTACTTTTCATTCGCCACTAATATTACGCTACAGAAAAAATTTTTGTCTCCCATTCGTGCTGTCATTGTATTCCTCCGTCCATTCGCTAACACTCTTCCCATACGTCTGTCAAAAGAGTTGAACACTATTTATATAATGAATCCATTGATGTGAGAATTAATCATTTGTTTACTCTATTATTCTCTCTTCACATGTATTTTCTCGAGAATCTCCTCTCACTTACAATAATAGCATTCATATTGATATTAAACTCCAAGTTTTTCGCTTAATCCTTATCACAAACTTTTTAAACTCCCATTTGTATTCACTTGAAGTCTTTTTAGAAATAAGTTTTTAAACACTTATTTCTTATTTGAACTGATTTTAAAAACTTTTTTCACAAAGTGATATCATTTATTACTCCGAAGTTACTTATGTTAATAATGTCTGCCATTTATAGCAAAATAAAAAAGTCAATGTGTCTTCACAACGAGTGTCTTCGGCGCAAGAAGTTGTCCGACGGCTCGACCAACGGCTCGGAGTCGGAGTCGCCGAAGACGTCGTGCAATGGTTTCGGTGACGAAACGCCCGAAGAGTTTCCCGCAAACGATATTATAATCAATGTTTTGGATGCGAACAACAATTGCCTGAATCTGATGGATGTGGCGGACGAGGAGCCGAAGCCCCGGGTGGTGACCCGGACTCTGTTCAGTCGGTCGGACTCCCAGTGCAGTCAGACAACTCAGACCAAACGGGTCACATACGGAGGAATGTTCAACCGATTCGTGGACGCCGTCGACGAGATGAACAAAATTGTTTTGATTCCCTCACGACTTCAGGACATCGACTGCGCCGACGACGTGGACATACCGGTCGTGTTGGACGGCGCCGGCGGTTGTGATATGCACTCGGGCTTCAAACTGTTGAACTCATTCCGCAACCAAATAGTGCACAGCAGTCACAACACAACAGTCAGTGCGGGCCAGGGGTATGACAACCACCACAACGGCCACCACAGCGAGCGTTCACTATCACCAAAACTGGTCAAACAGTACTCAGTGAACAGCGAAAAGGGCAAAGAGTTCCTCAAAGACGTCTCCTTAGACAGCGGCTACACCTCCATCGTCAACGACAGTCAATCGCAAAGCTATTCCTCCACCTCTTCCGTCAACACCGAAGACGACTCATCCGAAGTCATGTCAGACATGTCTGATCTGGCGCTCAGTTTTTACCACCACTTGTATGGACTCAACCTCGTGCTCGAGAAGCTCATCGACACCACGAAATTTATTAGCAATAAATACGAGCAGAATCTTCAATGAGAAACATTGGGTTTTATAAATATTTTTTGTACTATTTTTATTTTACTATAAGAATTTCTTTTAAGTTAAATATGTTTTTCTATTTTTCATACTTTTTTATGTTTTGCAAATTAATCTCACGCTTTGCTGGTAATAAACACTCGTTTATTACATTACTTTTTATATGAGACTTAAGTTTAGTATAGCTATGGGTCTGAAGAATGTTTTACTTATTTTTTTTAATGAATATTATTGTAATATTTAATGTATTTTATGATTATATTTATTACATTAATATTATGTTATATTTATGTAGAGTTAATTTGTAAGTAAAAAGTTTCCTTTAATTTGCATGTTTAATAAAAACAAATTTTCAAATTAAATTTTACGAATATTACCTAAAGTTATAAAATTCTTATAATTTGTATTTAAAAAATCTGTCTAATTTTATACACTTTTGCGTAATTTTCGATATTATATGTCATTTATTTGTAGAAAAATCCAATTTTCTGTCATTTCTTATGAAAACAATAAATTTTTGTAATTGACGTAAATGTGAGGAAATTTTATTATAAAATATATTTTTAAATAATTCTTCTTTTTTTGAAACAAAAATTCTTTGGCTTTTAAACACAAACGTCACATGAATTGGATTCCAAGAAGTTTTGTCTTAAGGATAATATTATTGAGAAACCATTTCTTGAATACTATTAGCCAAAGAATCGCATAATTAATTAAATATAAATATATTTAAATTTAATTTTAAACTATCAATACTTTTTTCATTTGGTTTTAATGTTTGTTTGGCATTGACTTTAATATATTATTGATTTCGCAGAATATTAATCTTAATTAAGGGGTAACTTGTGAATAATTTAGACATATTGCTATAGTAAAAGAGATTTTATTTTTTGGAAATTTAAATTCAATTGGATTTATTTTTTTTATAAAATTCTAGATTCAATAACATGTTAATTAAGAAAATTATTCAGGCAAATTTTATTTTTGGTACCTGTATAGTTTTGGTTTGAATTTTAATTGAATGCAAATCATCAAACTATTGGTTTTTCTCAGTTAAATAATAGCTATCATTATGTAAGCACTTAGTAATTATAGTCTTATAAAATGCCTTTTTATAAGATTTTTGTGAAATTTTCATTTTCGTCGCAATAAGAGTGAAAAGCTTTGAGGCATTTGTATAGTAAAGGAAAACATATTTTTATGACAAAATCATTTCGTATATAAAAAATATTAATATTTATTTCAGTTAAAGGCAATGAAACAAAACGCGATTTTATTAAATAAAAGCATAAATGAAATAAAAACTATTTATGCCAGGTAACCATTATTTTTAGAGGAAAATGTAAAAAATTATATTTAATTAATAATTACAGTGTAATTTTTTAAAAACGATTTTTTGTCATCACTTATGCCAGTTTATTATTGTAATGTAGTATAAAGTTGTTTTGATAATTATTTTTTTTATTAATAATAGCGTTTTTGTGTAAAAATTGTCAACAAATCAAAGTCTCAAATGCGTAAATGGTGTGACAAATGATAATATCGTCAAATAATATTAAAAATGTATTTTGATTTCAAATAAACATAACTTAATGACCCTTTCTATGAAATCAATACTAACTGATTGATCACGAATTTATAATTTAAAAAGACGTTCAATTAAATTTGTACAAATATGCCCGAGAGTACATATTTTTATAAAACAATATTTAAACTTAATAATAAACCCTATATTCCACTGAATGTACTGTAATAAAGGGCATATATTGTTTGATAGACAACAGGAATATATTATATAAAGAAATATTGATGGACATTTTTACGACAAAACAACTCAAAAAAGTGGGGGTTTTCTCCCTGGCGTTCAGACATTAGTCCTCATCTGTAGTGATGTCTTAGTGACGTATTTGGGAAATATTTTATTGTAATTAGAGGCTAACCATTAGGAACCGACTCGTATGGCAGTCATACGACTATATTATTAATATATACCTCGCATTCATACAATAATAGTCTGACAATTGATGATGAATTTTAATTTTTTTTACAATACAGTACTTTATTCTTTGGTTTTACTGTAGTTTATGAAATGTCTGTTCAATGGATACCTAATATCCTGTTCAACACTCACTAAATAACGGCTTCGTCTATACGGCGATGATTACGATAATTAATGAATCTAATCAATGTAATTAAATGCAATCAAATAATATTATTTTTCAGTTTTAGACGTCACCATTGGGTTAACAATACAGTAATGAAAATCTATTAATTTATGACAATTAGATGTAATTATTTGAAGTCATTGATTAATTTGGAGAAAAAATTAGAGGTTAAGTATTGCACAGGTTTTTACAGTAAGTGTTAGTTAAGCCTTCATTTGAATGAATTCATTATTCATAACATTGACATCAAAACAATTATCATCTAATGTAATGTTTACAATTTTAATAAAATAATTATATAATTTGAAATTGTATTATAAACTCTTCCTAACCAATAAATATTTATAATATATATTATATAATGATTTGACAACAATTCCCTGAATTTGATTTGCTTATGTCATGTAATGTATTTTCTTAATAAGAAATCAATTAAAATTAAATAAAAATATAGACTATTCATAAATTCTTGGATATTATATTACAATATATTTTATAAACAAATTAATTAAATGTTTATGCAATCTATTTTGAAATATGATAACATGTAAACTACATGTGTATATGAGTATAAATTAAAATAAATTACTTTTAAAAGTTGGCAAAGGTACTGTTTTATAATCATTGTGAAATGCAAAAAAAATAAGACATCAATAATTAATTATAACT